GATTTGAACAGAATTATCACCATGTCTTCAGACTCGTAGAATGATGATGGTTGTTAAGAGGGCACCCTGGCAAATCTGAGCCTTCCAAGGGCTTGGGTCGAGAAGCTGGGCACAAGTCCTTCCTGATAACATTGAATGAAAATCAGCCTGGTTTGATTGTTTTGACATAATTACCAGGAGAAAAAGGCTCTCACAGTTTCTTTATGCCATCCCACAATTAATCCTGTGGTAAATCACCAAATGCACCCTTGGCATAAAAAATTAGGTGGGTGCTGACCCTTCTCACTTGCGTTCTGCCAGATGAGTCTCCCACCTCGCAGCTGTATTCCTGTTTCCTTTTAGGAACATGTTTTAAGAATATTAAAAGTTTCTCTTCTTTCCCAACAGGAACACAGACAGGCAACATCTCCATACAGTGGTGCTTTTCCATGGACAAGGAAATCTAACCTTGATTACTTAGCATTGGATTTTAATTCTGCTTCCCCATCCCCTGTACAGAAGGTACGAGTCATCTGAAAAACCCCACAGCCCGTCCTATTTTTTTTGACTGCTGGGAGGAAAACAAGACTGAGTCACACTCTGCTAGGTGCCCTAAGTATCATGATGAAGCCAGTCGTGTTTCCAGCGGCCTGCATTTGTGGCAGGCTCAAGATTAATATAATAAAAGCACCATTAGAGTGATGATAAGGTGTCCTGAGTGTGACTCATAGGGATGCCATTAACACGAGCTTGGCAGAGGGCATGAGACTGCTGGGATGTGCAGCCATGAGGACTCGTGGACAAGCTTGTTGGTGCTTGCAGGATCTCTGCATGCTCCTTCATTTTTATCATCTCCACAGACCCTTTCCTGCTAGTTTCCCCCTCAAATCTCTTTGCAGTAACAAGTTTACAGCCCATGATAAATTCACGGAGTAAAACCGTACCATCTCTTGTAACACAGCAAAAAGCGCATCTTTATTCTTGCATCACTGAAAGCATTTCAATTTCCTTAGCAATGCTGAGAAAATACATTCCTTGTCCCAGAGAGCTTACAACCTGCCCAGGAGGGAGGTAGTTACCACTGCAGAGCAATGAGCTGGTGTCAGTTTGGGTCATTTTATATCCTGTATAACATTTTCCCCATCAGCTAATGCTCCTGGATGCAAAAGACTCAAGACTCCTAAGCTTTCTTATTTAAACCCTCCCTGTAGTTAAAATGCAGATAGGTTATCCCTGCAACAGGATCACTCAGATGAGAAGAGAATGATTATCTGCATGGAAATAGCCAGAACAGCACGTTTCCCTCGCTCGCTGTGCTGGGCTGAGTGACAGGGTGACAGATGGATAATTATAGCTAAAGCAGGCTGTAAAGCAATGCTTTTGTCAGCTGATGTCACTGTGAGCTTCAAGGTGAAGTGAAGCAATCAAGGAACAAGGGAAAGGGAAAACAGAAAATCAAGTCAGGTTTCAGTAGCATGCCTTTTCAACCCTATAATTAATAGATCGTTTTTTTTCCTCTCTCTCTCACAGAAACCTTTTCTCTCTGAGGAGCAGAGAGTGGACTATGTCCAGGTAGATGAACAGAAGACTCAAGCTTTACAGAACACTAAGCAGGAATGGACAGATGAGAGGCAATCAAAAGTCTAAAGGAAGAAGATCTGGGATCTGGAGGATCTTTTTTTTGCACTGGAACCACAATGTTAATGAAGCAGCTATCACAGTGGAGTTCAAAGGCAGAGGGAGTTATAAGATGCTTACGGTCTGCAGAAGAACAGCATTTTTAATGGAGACCTTTGATTTCAGCTGGAAATAGTATGTTGAATGAGTGGTTCACTGATGACTCAAGTAAAGCATTACCCTTTTTACTGCCCTTACCAGTAAGCTACATGGTACCATTTTCTGGCATGATTCTGCGACAAGTCATACACTTAATGTTAACAAATTCACTACATGTTGCATTAATCTAGTTAGTCCCGCCTTCTTCCTCTGTTGCATAATTCCTAGTTGCTAAAGCTATTTTTTGATATTCCTACAAACACTGCAGGTGCTCAGAGTGCTTTTATGGCAACGGGCATCTGACAGGTATTGGTGACTAATCAACTAAAGGGCTAAAATACTGAAACAGTAAAAAGAACTTTTTGAATATATATAGTGCTTAAGCAAAGAGAATTTTGGAAAATATTTTTCCCTTGGGTTTAAAAGGTCTGACTCTGAGCTGATGCTGTCAGAAACTCAAAACAGGACTATGTACCAATGGGACTGGAACACATGGTCTCTGACCCTCCGGATGACAGTCATCGTATTAAGCTTCGTCTTTCCATTGTGGCTCACACTTGTCGCCTTTCTGTCTGATTCCTACTGATGTTTTCTCCCCTATCTTAAGGAGTGTCTTCAGCACAGCACAGCTGCTCCTCTAGCAGGAGGCTGCAGGCACACAGCTCTTGGCTGGCCAAAAAATAGAAAGGGAAGCTGTGAGCCTGTTTCTGCAAGTCTTGGGAGAACTGGCAAAGGATCAAGAATGCTTTCATCTGAACTGCAGAAGAAATGCCATTGGAATTGCTGGTAGTAGTCATCAAACTGATTGTTTCACTAGACCCACCCCCCCAAAAAAAAAGAGAGCTAGGAAGTGCAGCGTGCTCTGAGAGAGGCTAGCAGGCCTGCCAAAATAAAACAACAATGTGCTTACATGGCGTGAGGACCTCTGGGTTCAGGAAGCTGATCTACCTTGGGACTTGTTACAGGCATTATCTCAGGATCACATATGTGTATAGTTTATAACATATTTAACTTTGAAAGCTTGGCTGCAATCTTTATTTTAAGGTGGCACACAACCACTTGAATCATGGAAGTATGCAGTACTGCTGAGTGACCCACACTGGATTTGATCTTGCAGGCTTTGCTCATGCAGGTAAGTCCCACTAGCCATAAGAGGTCTGATCCTGTCAGCAAGGACAGGCAGCCAGGACCCTTAGGAAAGATTTCTTCTTTGACAGTGCCAAGTCACTGGCCTCCCTTCATGTGCCTGTTGCTACCACGTTGTATTACTGTAATCTGACATCCCAAAAATGCTGATTTACCAAACGGAGGCTGTAGAAATGTCATTGCAGAAACCACTGGCATTTCAAGGCTCCTGCTTACTGTCCTCCATGCACCCACTCTGCTTCAGCCATTTGGGCACTCTGGGAGGCTGAGAGATGCGGCCGAGTCACACGTCCTGCTGGGAGAGGCAGCATAGCTAACAGAAACACCAATTTTCTCCTACCTCAAGAGAGCTGAAGTGCTTGCAAGTCTCACTGCAAATACGAAGCTGGGGATCCATGGTGACCAGGCTATTAGCTTTCCCTGCAAGAACAACGAGGCTCACCTGCGCCTTTATTGACTCTGGGGCGAACTGGGCACCCAGGCCTGCAGGCATGAAGTGTCCTGGACTAGAGCTGCTTGGAAAAACAGGGTTTATACTGCAGATAGCTGACCTGCTGTTTCCTCCTACTCTGCTCCTCCAGCCCCCACCAAAGCGCTAAAATGAAAGTTAACGTTCATAAAAGTTTTGAAAATAATTCAGACTTTTCCATACAAATCTTGTCTGGTGTGAAATTTAGTTTGTTAAAACCCAGCTGTTTTGTCTTAAGACTGATTTAGGAGAGCTCTGAGCAACTGTGTCCTGGGTGTGGTATTGCTAGAGGGGAAGTGGGTTTGGGGAGAGGCGGTAGAGATCTGCACCTCCACAGAGGTGTTAGAGAGAGGTAAGTGAGGAAGGGCCACAGTTAAAATGTTTGCCTTTCTGCTCAAAAGAACTGGCTTTCTTTCAAGGTGTACAAATAATACATGTCACTGAAAGCTTTTAGTGAATGCTGCAGTACTGGAAGGGTTAAAAGACCAGCTAAAATGTATATTACAGTAGGGGACAGAAAATGTCCACCAAGGGCAGGTAAAATTATGCTATGCTACTGCAGATCCCCAATTGCAGAGTGATGGCATGGCAGCCTTTGATGCAGATTGCAATAGCATACCAATCGGCTCGTGTTTGACTGGAGCGTTTCTTTTCATGCTGTCAGAAAACCTTCTAAGTAAAAAAACACAGAGTTATTGGAGACAACTGACTTGCTTGTTATTCTAGTTTATTGTAAAAATATTTAAACTTTGACAAACTGGCTAATGTATCATTCAGAAGTTTTGAAAAGAAGGAGCTCTTTTGGGTTAATTTTGCCCCCATAAAAGGATATAAACATATAGCTTGGTGAGGGTTATCCTTAAATCAGAATGGGTTCCTTTCAACTTCCCAGTGTCCTCTGCTTGCCCCCCAGTGCTCTCTTGATCAAACACTGTTCACTGGTTTCTGACTTTCACTTTTTAACTAAAAGCTGAGTTAGAAGGTTTATTCAGATTTTTCATTTAAGTTTTGGTTTTACCTGCTGCTCCAGGGTCTGTGACATGCATTCTTGTGTAAGTACAACACACAAAACAAGAGCAATTAAAAAAACTACAAAAAAAGTTTTAAAAGCAGAGCAGTCCTCCCCCAAGACTTTTATTTCCTTTTGTTTTAGACAAATTTCACAATACTCCAAAGCCGGTAAAGAAGAGGAGAAGGATGGCAAAGTCCAAATTTGCTGTGGCCACCTCATCATTAAGGAATTTGGTGTGAATGGAGCCCCAGCAGTCCAGTAGATGACTGACATAGCTACGGGCTGCCACCAGCCCAGGGCCAACACCTGTAGAGCTTTCTGGTGGGAGAGGAGGGGTGTTACAGAGCAAAAAGGAGTCACTGTTTAATGAAGTTGGTTCTTAAATACTGATCCCTTGGCCAAACAGGAAAGAAAACCTGTGAAAGCAAACAAAGCGTATCTTATTTGAAAACATAGCCCGGGCAAGAGCCCTTGGTTAGCACTGGCTCCAGGGCCAGCCAGGCACACTCCTGATAGTGTCTGTTTTTTGCTGGGGGTCTGTTATTTGTATGTATTTCTTGGAATAAGTATCATGAGAGCTGTTGCAGAGAGAGGCTTTGCACCTAAATGAGCAAGGGATGGCCAGTGGTCCCTTAGGAAACTTATCTCCTGGGGGAACTGGCATTGCCTGGCTCAGGACTTGTAGTGCCTTCTCCAGCACTGCCGGGCTTTCTCGTTTTGCTCAATGGGAAATGTTGCTCGGTGGAGTTGCCAGGTGAAGTTCTGTTGCGGGATGATGTGGAAAACAAACAAGTGAAATGGTTTCAGTGTTGTGGTTATTGTTAGGGTGATCAGCCAGATTCCCCCCACTGTTGGCACAGATGGTGAGTGACCTGGAGTGCCAGCACCCAGGCACAGGAGGGAGGAGATCAGAGATGAGATGGATTTCTTTTACTCAGACTGTGGCCACTGAATATAAAAATAGCCTGCATCAAACACCTGTTTGAAATACATTCTAAAGAATCATAAATAAATCAATCTGATCTGAATTTCTTTCCTGGAGCGAGCAGAAATTCAGTACTTACTGGGAGTTACACGTGTTCCCAAGGTCTTTACTCAGTTCAGGTTTAATAGGGCCTTATTCCACAGTCATTCAGTGGTCACGCATTTGAGCAAGGCATAGCAGGATCCAAGACTTGTTTGCTTTTTGGACTAAACTGTATTTTCCATTTATAATTCCTTTATTACAGGAGGCAGCATTAAATTTCTCGCTGGCAGATAGGAACACTTTACCTGACAAACGTCAACAGCCGTTTAACTCAAGTCATGTATTTTCAACCATCTCACTTTTACCAATGGTAGCACCCGCACTCTTCCATGTCACTAATTACATCATAGATGTAGACTTTGGAGCTGTGTTCACTTGAAGTGATTCAGTGGTTTAGTAATTCAAAGACCATCAGATGCTGTGATGAGAATGAAGCACAGGGCAATGCCTTTCCTTTGTTCCCCTGTTCCACAAAACTTGCTCAGGTTTAAAAAAAAAAAAGCCACCAAAATAGCAGACTTTTGCCATGTCAAAGCCAGAATATTTTTTGTTCAAATAAAAATAAACTTTTTGTCTTGTGCAAATGAAGCATTATACTTTTTTGTATTTGTAAAGCTGTGGGGAAGCATTAAACAGTCATCTCTGTTATGAAGGAGTAAGTCATTGATAGAGGGAAGGGGCTCGCCTTCCTGACGTTTCATGTAATGTTTGTTGTATATATTTGCACATTAAACTGTGTATCTTTTTTTCTAATAAATTAATATAAAATGTAGCAGTGATCTTTAATTATTTTGACAAGCAAAGGCGCTTACAGGGAAAACTTTCACATTTTTTATGTAATGCTTTTTCAATTTTTAAAATCTCCTACTAGGCTGTGACTTGTTCATATATTATTTGGATGCAAATGCAAACAAATTTCATACACCTGTGTATCAGGAAGATTATTTGCAGGTGACTTGAGAAAGAAAGAATGATGAAGTCATGACCTGGGCTGGTGTCTGCATCATCCTGGGCCTGGGTAAGATGCAGGTCCCCAGGCCCTGCTGCAGCCACGGGGCAGGAAGGTGCCACGCTCACTGACCAGAGACACAGACCACAAGCACAAATTTGCTCAGCACATGCTCTGGGCTTGGATACAAAGACTAGTTGGTATTTAACCTGATCCTTTAATTGTTCTGTGCTGGGGAGCGTAGTTGCTGTTAATGTCATTTCCACAAGCAGTGAGCTGGGGACATGGGATCCTTTTAACATGCACGTCTCAGGATTTTGAAGAGGAAACAAGGCAGTCCATGGGAGCAGAGCTGAGCAAGCCTAGCTGCTAACAAGCAACGTAGTTTGGGAAATAGTTTATTTATTGCTTCAGGCAAGTGTCACTTTTGGATCTGTGTGCTTTGTAACCCTGGCTGGATACCCTCTGGTGAATCGAGGGACTTGTAGAGCCTAGAGAGCCATTGATGGAAACTTGGCTGCAGGACTCCAGAAGCACAGACACGTGTAATTTAGATAAGCCTACGCCTGGGGGGCTTGATACAAGGGAACTGCGTGACATTTTGTGTTCAGTCTTGTAGGGAGGGCAGGCCGGATAAATAAAAGGTCAGATAAAGTCTGACTTCAGTGTCCTCTCTTCAGTGGAGATGGGAACAGCCCTTTCGGCAGGGAGTACTCCCCAGAAAAGTGGCTCTCCTCTCCTGCACTAGCTCCCAGACCCCCGGAGGGAAGCAAGACGTGCCAAAGCCACTGCCACCCCTGCCACATTGGCCTGGCATGTCCCCTCCCTGGGGTACTTCCCAGAGGAGCAGAGGTGGTTCTCACAGAGGGTCCCAGCACCCAGAGCATCCCCACAGATGGGGACAGCCTGACCCATGGGATCCAACGCGCTCTGAGTTTGTGATAAAGAAATCGGGCTCTGCAAGTAAATGGTGCTGAAATGAAACGGTATGAGGCTGCAAAAAATTCAGGAAGCTCTCAGACTTCTCATGCCGCTTTGTAAAGTACTTTGGTGATTAGATAATAATAAGGGGAAAAACCTGATAGCAAAAAGTTTGACTGTGTAAGCACTTGGTAGAGGTTAGCCCCTCTAATCACATCCAGTTTCAAACCACAGAAAACATTTCCCTGAAGCAAAAAGCCACAGAGTAGCCAGCCAGTTACCAAGCCCAGGTCATTTTCATGGGGCATGAAACACAAACCTCTCAAAAAAGGCAGTAATTCCCTATACCACTGGTGCTTTTTGTCTCTTTAACTCTTTTAGTTAAGAGTGCAATTGCTTTGATCTTTTTTAGCCTGAGATGCTCAACAGACCATTCCTGTGTAACTGTGTCCGTGCAGGGGACTGTATCAACACAAGTGTACAGGTCTTGGGCCACAGTGGTGATATCTCATTTCTCTCCAGTAGATCTCCGAGAGCTTTGGCAAAGGGATCTGTACTTTATTTCTGGTTTTTCATGCTCACTTTGAGGGCCGGTGGCAGCAGCAGAGATGACACCTGAGTCTGCAGTGTCTTAATCCTGCCCTTTTGCCAGCAACTAAAGCAGGTTCCATGCTGTGTTTTGACAGGTCTTAAGATCTTCATTGCCCTATCGAACAGCATCTAAAATTCCTCTTCCAGTTGTTTAGGGCAGAGCTCTATTGGTTATACATATTCATAGGCACGCACTGGGTGTCAGCAGCACCACATCCAGTGGTTTGACACAAAGGATGTGTCTGCTGGAGGCTCAGCCCCTTCCCACCTGGCGAGCTGATCCTGGACACTGTTGTTATGCAGGAGCAAGCAGGGAGCAACTCAGCCTTTCATTCATTGTCCTGTTTTGTTTTACTTCGATTTTCCTTTCACATCTGATTTTAGCATAAGCTTATTGTTATACAGCACCAACACACCCTGCTCTGACAGCTCAGGGATCTCAGTGTTGGCAAATTCATCACTCTGTGAAGCCTGGAAAGCTCTTGCTCTGCTGGTGGGCTCTCATCAAGAGCTTTAAAGCTTAACACAATTTGGAGGTGTTTTCCTTGTGTGGTGGTGGTTGTTGAAGTTTGGTTTGCTTCTTCATTCAAAAATGCTTTGTCCAGGAGCTCAGCTACTTGGAAGTGCCTCTGACTATGGCACTATCTAGAGATGCTTGCTTTTGCTACTGCTGCTGTTAGTTCTTAACTTCCTTCCCACAGGAACAGCACAGAGCAATGGGGAAGACCTACTCTGTACTTTTCCTCTCAAGAAAAAAACTACAGACTCCTCACATGAAAGCAGTGGTTCTGCCACCCACCCTGGGAGGATGCCACTCTGCAAGTGCCTCAGCTTTCTCTGGGAAGGCATGGAGCATTTTGTAGAGTTATGGAATGATGGAAAAGGCAAAACATCAAACAAAGGCTGGTGGGTGTCCGACAGCGCTGGAGGAGGTGCCAGAAGGCAAACATAGATTTTGCCTTTAGGTTTCCAGATCAAAGTTCAGGGCAAGCTTTCAGCATGACCTTTTGTACAGCCTGAGAGAGACAATTCCTCTACAGAAAGAGATGGAGGATTGAGCAATAAAGGAATTCATAATACCTCTGAGATCTCGGTAACTCTTTGGTCTCTCTGTTTTGTATTAACGTAGCTTTTGGGAAGCAGCCAGACTTGCCAGGCAAAGGGAGCCAAGGTTTCATACAGGAGTCTTGGTGGGGTCTGAGTGCCTCCACCACTGGGGCATCCAGCTGAGATCTCTCTCAGCCCTGGGGTTTCAGAGACACGGAGCCATTCCCCTTCAAAACTCAGCTGCCTGAGGACATGCCCAAGCAGGGGCTATGTCATCCCACCACGGCTGCGCCCTGGTGCAGGCAGCCCTGGGAGGGTTGCAGTGACAGACCAACCTTCGCCCACCTCCTGCTGCTGCTGCTGCTGCTTCTCCTGCCGAGCAGCCTGACCCCCCACCAAACCCCACAGGGTTGCGCCCAGGCCCATTGGGGCCCCAAAAATTCATGCTGGCAGAGGCTGAGAGATTTGCCGTTGACTACGGGAGCAAGCAGCCCTCCATCATTCATATTTTACAGTATGTTCTTTCAGACTACGAACTGTTTATTTCAAAGAACTGAACACGCCCAACATACTAATGCTGGCAAATGAAGCTCCCCAAAAGGGGTAAGGGCTTCTCAGCAGAAAATGTAGGGTCTTAGGGTTTGGGTGTATATAGGCCTTTGGTGTATATTTTATCCATGAACATGAGGTGGTCAGCAGGCTAGAAGGCAGGCTGTTTACAGTTCAAAAATAAGAGATGTCTTTTTTTTTTTTAATAAAAAATGGAAGATTCATCACTTCTTTAGTTTGACTTCCTCCACAGTTAGTCAGAAATCATCAGGAAATGCCACCAAAGGAAATCCGTCCTGTTTTGCCTGGTCAGCACAAGGAATGTGCGCACACAGAGGAGGACGGCAAGGGGGGGCTCTGGCTCTTGCCAGGCAGAGCTGAGTGACACAGCAGAGACAGCTGGAGAGCAAACTTGCATGACATGTAAAGTAGAAATGACAGGGAGACAAAATAAAGATGGATTTCCACAACAGCACATTCAAAATGAAAATTTGGAATATCTCCAGAAATGTCAGTAAATTTTTTTCCCATGTTTATATATAGCACA